GAGGCTCTAGGTTAGGAAACTCAGGACTTCCAACATAAAGGAAAACAATAAAGACGGTGTGGTAAATTAGTGAAAGTAAAGCTTACAACAAAGACTGTTCTCAGATGGTGCCACTAAAATCCCAAACATGTTCCCTGTCCCCAACCTTCATTACTTACGGCCTCCTGGCCTTGCATTCGGACTCGGAAGAGCTTCACGGGACGGGAACCCAGGTACCGAGTACGAGTGTCAGACAAATCTCCAGTGACAGGGTCCAGGACAGTCCTCAGCAGCACACCGTTCTAATCAAAAGGAGAGGAGCGCATGAAGCCTACTCATGATGGAAAGGTATCAGCTATGATCGGAAATCTCTCCCTTGGCTACTTCATATAAGAAATCAGAGCAGATGGAAAGAAATAACTTGGTTGTTTAAAAAAGATCCTAAATAATCAGATAGCCATTCATTCATTCTCTCACTAAATCACTTAATCATTCAAAGTTATGGACCATCTACTAAGTAAAAACAAACTTATTTGTCACTGGATCTCCTTAAAATTTCTTTTTACCATGTATGTTAAATCCTTCCTCATTAATGTATATTTCAAATAAATAAATAACCATATTGACCACGGTCCCTAAACAGCATTTTCTCTTAGGAGAACAAGGTTTCTAAAAGGAAAGACTTGTCTGGGGCTGCGGCAGAATGTTCCAGACACATGTGGGGACACTTTATTGTGCAACAAGGCGAGGAAGCCCTCACAAATAGTGGGGTTGTGTTAAAAAGGCAAACCAACTTGAAAGAGAAATTTCCACTTTTCTAGAATGAGGCAATTAAGCATCCCCCACAAAAAAAAAAACAAGCCAGGTGAGGTGGCTCACACCTGTAATCACAGCACTGTGGGAAGCCAAGGAAGGAGGACTGCTTGAGGCCAAGAGTTCAAGAGCAACCTGACCAACATAGTGAGACTCTATTTAAAAAAAAAAAAAAAAAAAAAAAAAAAAAAAAAAACACAGAAAGAGGAGTTAAATCCACACAAGTTTATGATGTTACTCTATTTTATTTTTATTTATATATTGAGACAAGCTCACTTTAAGCTCTGCCTCCCAGGCTCAAGCAATCCTCCCACCTAAGCCTCCTAAGTAGATGGGACTACAGAAATGTGCCACCTTTCCCGACTATTTTTTTATTTCTAGTAGAAACAAGGTTTCACTACGTTGCCCAGGCTAGTCTCAAACTCCTGTGCTCAAGCGATCCACCCATCTCAGCCTCTCAAAGTGCTGGAATTATAGGCATGAGCTACAGCACCTGGCCAATGTTACTCTAAAAAACAGCAAAAAACCCACTTTACTGGTCCCCACTGAAGTGAGTGCTATGGCCCTTACTCTTTACTCTGAAAACAGGGAAACAATGGAAAAAAAAAAAAAAAAAAAAAAAAAAAACAAATCCTTTTCTTGTATAAACTGTACTTACAGTAAGCAAAGAAATGCTCCCCTCCCCCAATAATTAAATCTGAATCTAACCAATTTCTTGATCTGCAATATCCAATACTATAGCTATACCAAGCTACATGTGGCTCATCAGAACTGAGACAGGACCTAGAGTGGTGTCTCACATCTATAATTGCAGCCCTTTGGGAGGTCAAGGCCAGTGGATCACTTGAGCTGAGGAGTTCAAGACCAGCCTGAGCAACATGGCAAAACCCTGTCTCTACTAGAAGCACAAAAAATTAGCTGAGATCGCACCACTGCACTCCAGCCTATGCAACAGAGTGAGACTCTGTCTCAAGGAAAAAAAATTTTGATAAAAATAGATTTTAAAAAGAACTAAGACTGACAGTTAAGTGTAACGTACCAAATACCAGATTTCAGACTTAATTAAGAAAAAAAAAAAGAGAAAGAAAAAAGGTAAAGTACCTCAGCAATTTTTATATTAACTTCATGTTAGATATACAGAGTTAAAAGAACACTAAAACTGGCCAGGCACAGTGGTTCATGCCTGTAATCCCACCAGCACATTTGGAGGCCAATGTAAGAGGATCACTTGAGGCCAGGAGTTTAAGACCAGCCTGAGCAACACAGCAAGAGACTAACTCTATTTAAAAAATAAAAAAAGAAAGAAAAAGAAAAAGAAAAAAAAAAAAACATTAAAATTACTTTTTTCCTTTTTGTGGCTACAAGAAAATTTATTTATTTATTTTTATTTGTTTTTCATTTTTTGTTTTGAGATAGAGTTTTGCTCTTGTTGCCCAGGCTGGAGTGCAATGGCACTATCTTGGCTCACCGCAATCTCCATCTCCCGGCTTCAAGCGATTCTCCTGTCTCAGCCTCCTAGTAGCTGGTATTACAGACATGTGCCACCACACCTGCCTAATTTTGTAATTCTAGTAGAGATGGGGTTTCTCCATGTTGGTCAGGTTGGTCTCAAACTCCCGACCTCAGGTGATCCGCCCACTTGGCCTAGAAAATTTAAATTACACCTGTAGCTCACCTTATATTTCTAACGGATGGCATGGTCTTAACTCTACCCACCAGCTTAACAAAGAGGGTACAGGAACATTGAACACATAAGCAATGACTTTGTCAAGTCCAGAAAGTGGGAAATTGTATAAGACAAATGATGTGATCTTGTAATGCTGCAAAATGGGGTAGGACAGGTTAAGAGACATAAAAAGACAGATGAAGCAAATGGAAAAAAGCATAGAGTGCCATGATGAGAAACTGCGCACAACCAACTATAAAGCCACTCTGGGGGAAAGAAGAAGAACAGGGAAAACTGGAACATGGTATTAAAAAACTATTGTTATATTTTGCTGAGCATGATAATATTAATGTCTTACAAAAACACATCTGTTGGAGCTACATTATCAATTATCTGTAGATGAAATGACAACATCTTGGATCTGCTTTAAAAACAGTTCAGGAAAAAGATAAAACAGAAACAGCAGAATGTTGTTAGCTGTTAAAACTAAAAAAGGAAAAAAAGAAAATACATGTGGCAGCCAGTTAAAATCAAACAAAAGAAAAAAAACGATAAATAACAACCCTCCCCCCAAAAAACTGGGTACATGAAAGTTCACTGTATTAGTTTCTCTAACTTCTGGTTGTGTTTGAGATTTCTAAATCAGGAAGTAAAATTAAAAAGGAAAAAATACCTGGGCTAGATTACTTAGATGTCTGAGTCAATAAACATTAAAGAAAATAAAAATATATGATCAAGAATCCTGACACCATGTTAGTGTCAAAGCACACTTTTTCACAGCACAAAGAGCTCAGCAACTTTGGCAACAGGGACCATTTAGGGGTCCTTTATTGCTAATGAAGCCAATTATGAATTGAGAGGTATTCATTCCAAAAGCAGAAATGAATAATGGGAACTATAGGTGATCCCATCCAGTTCTGACTTGGAGCAGCTATCAAAAAGCATTTATCAGATGTGAAGACTCTTTATGAAAATATTTCCTTCCCAGCCTGATTTGTTCAAATTAAAGACTTGAGACAACAGAACCCAGAGTGACACTGTTTACTTTTCATAAGGCAAGGATCTGAAACCATGGAGACAGAAAATGCCTGTTATCAAAAAAAGGAGTGCATGAAACCTACAGAAAGCCTGATGTCCACAGCGTGGGCCTCTGGATCTCTTACCTGTAGCCCAATATTCAGGTATAGGAAGCCAATCGAGCCCCTCTCACCCAGTTCATCCTGCTTCTCAGTCCCACCCATTTCCACGATACACAAGGACTCAGGCTGGGCTGGGAGAGCCTGCATGCTTAAAGGCTGCAAACAGTCCTGAGAGAGAGAGAGAGAGAAATCATAAAAACACAGAAAACAACAATATTGGGAGGAAAAAAACATACCTAGGGAAATCTAATTCTAGAATTAGACTATACACAGAAAAAACCCTGGGAGTGAGTTTTAAGAGAATATTGAGTTATTAGTTACACCAAATCTCAGAATAAGCTTCAGGAAGATCATGCTTTTCTCCTGTTGTCAAAGGAGATAATGGTAAAGGTAATAAAGCAAGGCACACCTCCCACAAAGTCATCTAGGGTCCTGGAGCAAGTCAAATTTAAGCAGTCTTGGTTTTTAACTAAAAAAAGGGAATTGAAGCTTAAGCCAAAGAAACATTTCTGTAGTCTCAGGGATCATATCCTTAAACCACAGCACCCAGCAGGAGACTCCTGAAACACACTGCAACACAAGAAAAGCAGCAGGTTCAGATTTTGGGGTCTAACCCAGATGATCTCAGAGATGGACAATGGACATCAGGAGTGGGCCAGATGGTCAGGTTCCAACCAGATGATCCTTGAAGCTGAGAGTGTCACTCACTGAGGGGTCCAGGGAGATGATTCTGACAGTATTGTCCACAAGCCCCACAGCCAGGAAGCGAGACCGCTGCTCTCCAGGGGGTACATTGGCAAGACTCATGCACACCACATCTGCTGACATCTCCTTCCGTTCTGTGTACTCATTGAGCTGTCCTGACTACAGGAGGAAAAACAGAGTGAGGTCAAAACTACAAAGGGGTGAGTCTACATGCTCCAATTCACCCAAAACCCTGGACCTAGAGAATGAAGGAGAGCTGTTATATTTTGTTCTGCTTCCCCCAACTCCTCTCACTATAGTCAATGACAAGAATTTTCCTGAGTTTCCTGAGTTCCCAAGACAGAATTTAACAGGCTCACTGCAAGCAAAATGAGTATCTCTACCAATCAGAGAATGAAAAGACCTTTGAGAAGGTCAATGTGTCACAAATTTCCTAAGCCACCTTTGCTCTCAGGAAATGGAGATATATAAAACTGTTTATGTGAATACTCTGGGTGAGGGGCAAATACAGTTAACGACAAGGAAATCTCAACCAAAGGTACAGTTGGGCTACAAATTTTGCCACACTAGAAAACTCCTGAGAGCAAGATAATTAAGTGAACTGAATATCCTTCCATACAGAAGTTTTCAGAAATGGATTCAGACTGCAGAAACTAAATCTATGCCAAATATTTGTTGGAAAAGTAGAGAGTGAAATGCAGGAAGAGCAAGTGTTTAATTGCTAAAAGAGGATTTCATAACTCCACCTAGAATTAGGCATCAACTTACCCTTTTCCCCACCTCTGTGAAGGGCCAAACTGCTTTGTGGACACTTAACTCTCTTTAACTGTCATCTAAATGCCTAGACTACAATGCCCATCTTTCCCTCTGGACCCTACACTGAGCAATGATAAAATAACATACGGGATCCATCTCGAAATAGACCAGCTCTCCTCCTGTCAGGGCAATCACCACTTGTCGCTGGTTCACTGCACACTTCACAATTGTTTTCTTTCCAGGGGTCTTCCACTCATTGACTCTCTTGTCTGCTCGTATGTGCCGAATGCCATCTGGATAGACCTAGAGTCAGTAACAGAAAGAAACTTGACTTTAATAATTTGGCTCATCACTCAGAATGACCCTCACAACTATCAGATCTCTCACTACAATCAGACCTGGGGGCATTGCATTTGAGGCACCAGCGGAGTCAATGACAAAAGAGTTATTTAGTAGGCCCCAGGCAAGGTCAACTTTTAAATAATGTTTTGCAATGTCCACTTGAAGAAGTTCAAAGCTCATTAACAAAACACTTATATTTACTAGAGATGAGGATAGCAACAAAAAAAAAAAGGCAAATACAGGGGGGATATTATGTGCCAAACTCTTATGTTCCCTCCCTAAGGCCTATTGGAAGGTGAGGGTGAATAGAGACATGAACACAGCAGCCTACACCCCAACAAAGGCCAAGAAAGAACAAAGCAAGCCGAGTAGGTAAGCTCTGAGAACCCTCACCTGCACCAAGGCATCATCTCCTAACAAGGAGCAGGACAAGGTGGGGGTGGTCCCCAAGAACCCAGAGTCAGTCACTTCTTCTACAGTCTCTCCAATGGACAACACCAGGGTGGCATTCACGAAAGACACAATGATGTAGGCATCAAACTCATCTGAAAAAGAAAAGAATGGAGTTGGTTAGATAAGAACTCATTAGAACTACAAAGTCAAATGAAACACTAAGAGTTCTCTTCAGAAACCTTCCAAGGTACTTCTATGTGTAGTTATTACACACATACACACGCACAGAGCAGAGGATGAGCCAAAAGAAAAATGGAAGTCATAAGAGCCTACAGATACACACTCCTTCCTCAATATTTTCTTGAGACATCTGTTAGAGAAGCGAGGACAAAGCAAAGGAATTGGAGGCATGAGGACATTTTAAATACAGTATTGATGCAAGAACATACTGAGCTAGAGCTTCATTTATTTGTGCCAGTTGTCAATCCACTATCCCTTCCTAAGGGATACCCCTTTTAACTAGGAAAGACCCCTAACTTCTTCCAAAAGCAGCTTATGTCGGAATGAACACAAGCTCTAATGAATAAAAGAGAGATTATTTAAGCCTCTGTGAGACTAAGTCATTCTAGGATTGGAAACTCAGACTCCTAGTCCCAATGGGAACAACTTAAGAAAACTAGATAACCAGGAAAAGGGGGCAGGGGGTGAGGTTTGTTTATATTGTTATACCTTGACACCTCTGACCTCTCTGGTTTTTCACTACTTAAAAATAAAACAATCCTGTGGTGTTGAGCAATCCTATTAGAATTTGCTTTTTCTAATGAAATGTAGTTGAATAAACAAACACTAATGAGTTTTTCAAGGAAGTCAGAGGACTTGAGGTATATATCAGAAACCCTCAAAATTTCTTCTGCAGGTCACTCTATTTCCCATATATCTTACCCTACAACATAAAACAGCTTCTGCAAATGTCCCCATCCAGTACAACGTATGGCATACAGCTTGATAAATGTTGAGTAAAGGCATGCTAATTTTTTAAAAGAGTTGATATTTTCCTACTTTACATTTGAATTTTTCTATCAACACCCCCTTGCCCAGAAATCAGATAAAAAAGGAACAGAACAAGAAAAGGTACCAAAATTTAGTGTATGCCTCACTCCTAGTAGTAGCAGCTACAGGACCCTGTCTGCCTAAGCACTTGTCAAGACCTCAATGCCAGAGGCTGGTCTATTCACCCACACGAAGAGCATACTTTTGGTTCTGATGACTTCAAATGAGGTTCAGCTGAACTAAGATTACTAGATCAGCTCTGCAGAATGCAGAATCAGCATTCTTTAAAGAAGCAAGGGTCAAGTGAAGACCGATCATTCGACTGGGCATGGTGGCTCATGCCTATAATCCCAGCACTTTGGGAGGCCAAGATGGGGGGATCACTTGAAGCCAGGAGTTCGAAACCAGCCTGGCCAACATGGTGACAGCCTGTCTCTACTAAAAAAATAAATAAAATAAAACAGAAAAATTAGCTGGGTATGGTGGCAGGCACCTATAATTCCAACTATTCAGGAGGCTGAGACAGGACAATCACCTGTACCTAGGAGGCGGAGGTTGCAGTGAGCCAAGATTGTGCCACTGCACCCCAGCCTGGGTGACAGAATGAGACTGTCTCAAAGCAAACAAAGAAACAACAAGATGTATCATTGGCATGGCCTACAGTAGTGTTCTGCCCTATTGGCAGGACATAAAATCAATTTAATGGGTTGCACAATAGGCACTTCATAACAGAAATAAATGTAATTTATGATGATGCTTCATATATAGTAAGATAATTACTGTTTTGTGAAACTTTTGTTTCAGTTAATATTACATATTATATGTATTTACCGTGGTGGCCGTAAAACAAGGCTCAAAGATCTTTCCTAATGGGCATGCTCTAATGGTTAGACCAGGAATCCACAGAGTAAAGGTTCAATTTCCAAATCATAAGGAATAATACTGGACATGAAGATACTTGGTTTTTCATCATTTTGCTATAACTGTCATTACATATCAAATGCTTTGAGGACGTCTTACAAGATGATTTTGTAAAATTAAGCACTATTCACTATCATGAGTAAGGACATGGTTGTCTCTGAAATGGATGTCTCAATAGCTTACAACAAAACTAAAATCCATCTCTATATAACACCAAGCTTGGAACCTTTACTCCAACTCTCAGTTTTTGCACTGGAAATTTCTGTTGTGTAAAAATAACAGAAGTTGCTTAATTTTAACATTACAGCTAGTGCTCGACTTACGACCACGATTGGTTCCGCCGGTCGTAACACAATTTGGTCGTAAGTTGAGTAGGCTATATGTACAGTACTGTGAAATGATGTTATAAAAATCTTTAAGTCATATTTATCATAATTTTCTTTCATTATTGTTATATATCATAATTTTCTTTGTTCATTTTATGCCATTTGTATCAACTCTACACCATTTTGTTTCTTATTTTTACATTCGTCAGGTTTAAGTAAAACACTGCATTACCAGTAGTAAAGGTTGACCTGAATGCTTATTATGAAAGCATTCTTGTCAAATCTCATTTTTAAAAAGTTACCTTAACTTGTGGTAAAGGCGCAGCCTTGTGTAAAACTGTGGAATATTCACAGATCACTGAACCACGGTGGTCTATGGTTTGAAGTGAAAAACCACGGCACATGATGAGTTTTGAAAAGCAGAAGAGTATGAACTATGTTAAGTCTTAGGGTTAAAAAGGACTAGTTGCCAGGTATTTATTTATTATCATTGTATATAGAAAAGTAAATCATCACAATTTTATGTGACTTTCCATGGGATACAAATATGTAGCATTCATCATAAAAGATGTCATCTGGATATCTTGTTCAAATATAATTTAAACTTAGTATGTTCTAATATTGTTAAAGATATAGGGATATAAACCACTCACATTTTAGTAAGAAAGGCAAGAAAATGACTAATAATGATATGATATAGCATATATGTTTATTGTCCCGCACTGTCGTACGCCCAGCTGGGCAACATTTGCGCTGCCAGACGCGGAGCAGTCGTGGCTAGCGACTGTGGTCGTAAAGTCGAATGGTCGTAAGTTGCATAGGTCGTAAGTTGATCAATACCTGTATATGAATACAGTACCATTTCATGTGTTCCCATTACTGAAACCTAATAATCTTAAAAACTGTCAAAGCAAATTAAAGCCAAGCAACCAAAGGCTGTAACTGGCCAGGATTTCTGGTCTCGGAACTTCACCAAGGGGAAAAGGGCGCCTTCCAGAAGACAGATCATATAACCTTTGACTTTCATGGGAGAGAATGGGGAAAGGAAGGGAGGAAGGGTACCTTTCCTTTGACCAAGACTCCAGATTACTCAGACATAAAAGAAAATAAATGCTCAGTGGACTTAAATAGGATCATACTTTTGCTAGACAATTCAAGACGTGAGTCAATGACGTCTCAAAGCTGCTTTAAATCACAGATTTCCTCAAAATAAACACTGTCCTGAGAACACCAAACACATTGTAACTTCTACCCCTTCCTTCTACAGTGAGGAAGAGTTGCAGCAGATTAACTCTTATGTACTAGAGTAAATACAGATTAAAAGTTGGAGTTCAAGCCAGGCATGGTGGTTCAAGCACTTTGGGTGGTTGACGAGGCAGGATCATTTGAGCTCCGAAGTTCAAGACCACCTTGGGTAACATAACAAGACCCCAACTCCACAAAAAATTACAATTATTATTTTTATTTATTTATTTATTGAGATGGAGTTCTGCTCTTGTTGCTCCGGCTGGAGTGCAATGGCGTGATTTCGGCTAACCACAACCTCTACTTCCCGGGTTCAAGCAATTCTCCTGCCTCAGCCTCCCAAGTAGCTGAGTATTACAGGCATGAGCCACCAGGCCCAGCTAATTTTGTATTTTTAGTAGAGACAGGGCTTTTCCATGTTGGTGAGGCTGGACTCCACCTCAGGTGATTCGCCCACCTCAGCCTCCTAAAGTGCTGGGATTACAGGCATGAGCCACTGCACCCAGCCCAAAAAATTATTTTAAAAAAAAATGTTGGAGTTTAGAACAAAGTCAAGCTTTAGTGAAGGTAAATGACTAGGAACTGTACCATCCACACTGCCCTTTTCTAAAAGATGCAAGTCTCACGTGAAACTACAATAGTTCATACCTCAGTGAAGAATCTATCAGGGTATGACAATGCATCTTTAGGTCTCAGTTCAACAGGGCTCCCCCCATCTGTCTGAACACTGCTTAGGACCCCAGGAGAGGGAATGTTTTTCTCTTCTACTTCCCTTGCCTTAGAATTTAAGGCTCAACCAGCAGCTCACTCCAACAAAAGGTAAAGTGAGCGGCTATCCAAACAACTGAAGCCTCCACTAACTCACTCTCACTTCATAGACAAGGTTACCTGACACTTATCTTGCTTCAGCTTTCTGAATATACTCAAAAGCTTTCTCCAGGTCCTGATCTTTCAGTCAGGATACCTGGAACGTACAACTCCAAGAGAGTATGAAGCTAAAGTTCTCTAGCTAGAGACTCTTTTTAGCTTAGTAAAAGACAAATTAACCATATTTGACAAATTCTGTGGGAGAAAGTAGAGAGGCAGATTCCTGCCTCAGACCATCTCATCACAGGCAGACAGTGTATAGCACTATTATGCCCAGTGACATCCAACTGCAAAGTTACCCTCTGACAGACACCATCAGGGCAGCCTCAATATATTGTGCAGGTCCCTCTCCCTGGGTAAACTGTAAGACCCCATAGTCAACCCTAGCAGTAGGTACACACCTGTGGTGATCAGCACCTTCACCAGCCACCTGTGGAAGAGAAAAAAAGGCTTGGTATTGGTAGTGTGTATCACCAAGTACCAGCCAAGGTTAGTATTTGCCTGGAAGACTGCAGCATGTGCGGACAGAAGGAATGTTCACTCGATAGTAACTTGGGGTATCTGGAAACTGAGTGAACCAAGAGAACCCGACCAATATTTATGGGTGACTCCCAAATTACAGTACCGAAAGAGTAAAATTTAGCAGGATATAGTCCTTTCCGAGACTTCTGACATTTAATAAAGGAGAAAAACTTTCAACTACAAGTTCCATCATGCAACAAACTGCCTGTCACCGAGTTAGCAAATGCTGTCCCTCTTAAGAACCTGTCCTGACCTTCAAACACAAGCCCCCTCCTTTAACCCCTCCTGGCAATGTACCCATGCCTTTCACCACATCACAACACACAACAGTTTTGTATGCTTGTCTTCTTTTTTAGATGGCAAGAGTTCTGAGGCAAAGACGCTATCTTAGTCACTCTGAATACATGGTGGGCACTCAACCAACTAAACTTATCCTGAAAGAAACCAGCAAGACCCACAGACTCTCACTGCAGTTAATCAAAATGGACACTGGACTGAGATTCAGGAGACAGGATTTCTGTCCCCACTACCTAGACTATGTCTTGAGACAGTCAACCCCAATAACTTCCTGTATTCTTCATAAACAGTGAGGGTTAACTTTTCTGTAAACCTAAATCCATTTTATTTTTATTTTTCTGAGACAGAGTCTTTCTCGGTTACCCAGGCTGGACTGCAGTGGTGCGATCTCAGCTCACTGCAACTTCCACCTCCCAGGTTCAAGTGATTCTCCTCCCTCAGCCTCCCAAGTAGCTGGGATTACAGGCATGCGCCAC